GTTTGGGTACTGTATATTTACCCGTTTTTCTGTGTACTTCTTAGGTACAATATTTTAAAAATTTACATTCTTCACCACTGGAGTTAAATAATTTTCGTCTTTAATTAATGTAATAAGATGTTTTTAGCTGTGGAAAACTGCATAGCTGTACTGTTTTACTGTACAAAAAATACGGATGATTCGTTCATTGCATTTTTTGTTTTCATTTTAAAGGTTACCCAAAAAGTAGGAGACCTTTGGAGTGCTTCCTGACAGCATTGAAGAGGATTGAACAACTCTCCACTGACATGAAAAAATTAGAGAAGAGCCATTGACTGTTGAGTGATAATCTGAATGAAGCTCATGAGCTGTGAACTAGGCCTTTTCGTCATTTAACTTTGCTAGTAATATGAAGAAAAAGGTAATTGCTATCATAATAATGGAGAGCAATATCATTTTGTCAGCCATAACCAATTTGGGCCTATATGCATGACTGAAAATCTTCACAGCTTTAAAAGAAAAAGAATTCCATTGTATTATATTTCTTGGAGCACTGACATTGTTACTGACATTTTGTGTGGAGACAGTGTAAAAGACGCTGAAATATCCTGAGATTGCTGCAGTTTTTTTTATGCATTCTTTGTTACAATCATGGAGTAAAAAGTTGCAGTACACTAAGCATGAGGTGATCACCCCATGAATTTACTGTTGCTGTTTGAAGATGGATTCAGTTAGTTTCTAATAGCACCGATGTTTCTAGTTAGTGTTAAAATACATGATTTAGTGATATTGATATTTGTTGAGTTTGAGTTTTGAGTTTACCAAAAAAAAAAAAATGAGTTAGATGCTATGTAGATGTTTTACAAATTGCTTGTTATGTGGTTGCATGATTAATAAAGTTGTGAAAGATCAGAAAGTATGCTATTTACTGAAATTTGTTATGACCTCCCAGTGAGGTATGAACGAGGAAATGCAATGGCTTTATTTTTGACACCTACACTATCCTCAAGTAAAGTTAATAGTATACTGTGACCAACAGTAGCAATGGTGACTGAAAGGTCTAGTAAGCTTCTGAATATATTCTGATTGACCAACACATAACATTCATCTCATAAATGCCAAACTTTCTTTTTGTTTGTTTTGTTTTTGTGCATAATGTTGATGACATAACTGACTGACTGTATTTATCTTTTACATTAAATTTACTGAGTGCCTTTGTTTTGTAAAGAGGCAGGTTGCTTTCGAAAATTGCCATTATAATCTCATTCCACATGGAATTTTGGGCTTTGTCGGTGCACCGTTCTAGGTGTTGTTCTCTTCGCAATGCACCTTTATCCAAAATTTGATAAATATCTCCCAAACCGAAGGAATTATGAGAAAAAATTCTACAGATGGCTGACCAAAAGTCATGTGTGGAGATTTTACATATGGCCTAGGATTTGACCTTTGACTTTATTTCAAGGTGAAACGGGCCAACATTTTCTAAAGACTTTAATTAAGAAAGAAAGAAGAACAAAACTTTTGATTACATACAACTAATATTTTATTGTAAACTAGAATATTTGACAGCCAATGGGGTAATAATAGTTCTGATACAAATGTAAAAATGTAAATCAGTTAAAACGTATTAATTGATAAAAGATGCTGACAGGAACTCAACAACTACCAGCTCCTTACAGCTATCATATAATGACTGTTTACATGTACAGTTTTTACCAGCTGTTTGACAAAGTTTTCCTCTTAAAAACTTTCCCTTATGATGCCAAAAACAAGGAAACTTTCCAAAGAACTTTGTGACTGTTAAATGAATCTGTTTTTTTTAATACTGTTAAATTGTTATCGTTTCTAAAAAGCTGAATCTTTAGATTTATTTTTTTATATAATACAAATAATTATAATAATAATAACCATTTATGTTCTTGACCTGTGCCTAAAAGCAAGGCCTGAAAATATTTCAAGACTTTTGCTGTGTTTGGCTGTGAACCTTGGGACCTGAAATATATAGTACTATATTACTTACTAATTAATATACAATAGTATATATCCTTTAATAAGCAGTCAGTGCACCAAATTATTTCATGCATGCAACTGTACTGAAAATCTTTTACAATTAATAAACAACTTGGCAAAGTAAAACTTTACACAAAACCAAACTGTGTAAACACATCAATGCGCAGAGTGTGTCCGTTTGTGCATGTGTGTGTGTGTGTGTGTGTGTGTGTGTGTGTGGATGTCATCAGTGTCATAAACAGACACTTATTCTATAGACCCTGCTGTCTTACCTCTCTCCTTCAGGTCCTCTGTCACAGTTTTTGTGTCTTTAACATCAACTAAAGAAATAAAAGGAAAACAAATTAAATANGATCAGCCAACCGTAGCTAGGGTTGTGTCACTTCCTGAAACTTACCTTTCATCTCACGATGGCCACCCGGTGAAGTCCCTATGCTATTATTCTCCTTCCGTACAAATCAACAGAAAAATCGAAAGGGCACTCTCCATGCCTAATGTTTCATATTTTGGGAAAATTTTGGCATATTTTATATCTGTGACATTTTGTATCAAAACTGCTGACACCTTTCACACCTAGGCCTACTTGTCTTTCTTTAAGTGATCCATATGGTTTAATGTAAGTCCATAGAGACAGAAGAAAAGAGAGTAAATAAAAGAGAGTAAATAAAAAAATTAACCTAAAATGTCTCCCAAAACATACGTACCGATTTCAATGCCTGTGTCAATTCACCAGTAGAGCTTCCACAACAATACTCAACCCCATCTTTCTCCTTTCTTTGAAAATACCCCAACGCCGAGCTGTCCTCTTTGAACGTGGAGACAATGGCGTCGCATGGTACACAGCTTTTCTGCCAATGCAACTCCTCTCGTGTATCACGTAAACAGCGGAGCTGAAAAACCAGATAAATCACCAAAGCACACAAAACTAGAAGAAAAACAACCAACAGACTAATCAAGACGACGACGTATCTAGAGCATCGGCCCGAGGACGCACTGGTCGACCTAGCAAATTTAACGTTGTCATGAGAGAGAAGGCCCTTCTGACTCGATTGAGAGCTTTGGTCGTCGCAAGGGTCGAATTTGTCTTGCTTCTCGCAGTCGTTGAAGGTTGTAGCCATGGTAGACAAAGTCAGAAGTTTCTTAGTTCACTAGCATCTGAAGTAAGTCCCGTGACACCTATGATCACCTAGTGGTAAAGTCACAGATCAAGGAAGTAAAGCTTCAAATTAACAGGCAGCAGACTCACACAAAATAACGACCTCCTCGAAGCTTGTGTTAATATTAACATTATGACTCACGCACCACGTGACCCATCACCATTGTCGATTATGAAAAGGTAACGATTACCTGCGCTTGGGAAATGTAGCTGCTTTGTGATACAGCAGAAAAATTTCCCTCATTTGTCCCTTGCGTGAGGTTGTGAAATATAAAAGAAAGAATGAAATAACACATATAATGAAAGAAATATTGCTTTTCTCTGTTATTAACAGCTGTTACTATCACGCATTTTTCCTGACTGTAGGCCTACTACGTCATTCTTTCGTTTTCTAAAAATGGGCATATATATGCTTCGAAGTGAAGTACCATGGTGTATGGGGGGGGGGGGGGGGGGG